GTAGAGAGAGAGAGAGAGAGAGAGAGAGAGAGAGAGAGAGGGAGAGAGGCATCTTACAATGACTCCCCACTTAAATACTCATTTGGAGAGAGAGAGAGAGATCAGAAGGCATCTTCCCACATAGGATCCCCATACGACATCCACTCTGCATCTGAGAATTCGTAATCCTCGCCATCATACGACCCATCAACATCATCAAAGAACTCGGGTGGATACTCATCTTCATAAGACCACGAGCTCTCCACTTCATAGTCCTCAGGGTAACAAACCCTAGCAATCCCACCACTCATGCACCTTTCCAATATCTCAGACCCGAGCGCAAGATTAAAGCACCGACGTAAATCAAGGGTCTCAAGCTTAGTGCAATTGTCAAGAATTTGTTTCAGGCCCTCATCTGATAGTGGGTTACCTGATATGTCAAGGTGTTTAAGCATAGGCATTGAGGAAGCAATGGCTACTGCTTCAGCGTTGCTCTCGATGGTAAGGTCAAGGCAGCACGAAGCAAGGGAGCTTGCGAAAAGGCATGAGAGACGGGGACAATTAAAACCAGCGGCCGTGATAGATAGCTCAGAGAGGAGGCGGCAGTTGGATATGTTGAGCTCCTCTAGGTGAGGGAATTTTCCAATGGCTTCCATGAAGGCAGGCTCAGTGATCTTGTAGCATAGGTTAAGATGTAGTCTCTTCAACATTGGGGCCCTGAAATGGGGTCGTGGTGTTAGCAGTTGGAATTATTGGTGCACTTCTCTGGTTTGATGGGCTGTTCTATGGTTCAGATTGTGTGTGTCATATTTAACAAAATAGAATTGATCTATTAAATATATATGTACGTATTAATCCACGTAAACAAGGTGCTGCTTAGCAGTAGATCGGACAGAAACAACAAACAGTAGATTAGGTTTTGTAATAAATAGGATCTGGGTGTCTTTATATATCTAAACAGTGCATAGAATAGATGGCTAAAATTGTCGAGAAACAACTCTGAAGCGACTAGTTAGAGGTATCAAAATTTCGCACTCACTCCGAGAGTCCTCATAAAAGGTTATCTATCAAAAAGAAAGAGTCATGATGAAGAGATACATGGCATCCATCTGATAAAATATTCACTTATGAGAGAGTTTATGCCAAGAGAATAGCTATCCACATTCCATATGGACTTATATTCGCAAATCCAAACAATGTGTAGGGCTTAGGATCATCCCCAGACACACCTATTCTAGTGCGTCCCTCCTCCTAAAATCCATCTCGGAGTACATTGAGGATCCAAAACTTCACAAGTGTATCATGTCGAATTCTTGACTATCATGACAATGAATCTGGAAAGTAAAAAAAAAAAAGGGACCCTCAAAATGTTTCGTCTTGTATCTTTTCTTTTTGGACAATTTATTTGAGTTTTTCAAGGATCTATAATCTACATTGTTATTAGACCACCAAATTATTTGAAGTGGAAGTAGATTCACAATGATTTAAGGTGTGTTTCAGGCTTCAAAACCCTTGAAAACAGGAGCGCATGCATGAGTCGACTGACACCAAAAACTTTTCAGAAAAGATAATAGATTCATCTTTCCCACAGAAGAAAACACCTCCTCATAGTCCGTCTGAAATTTGCCGTCCACACTATAAAACATGGTAAAATGATTGCAATTTGCAAATTGGTTCATAGATGCCAAAATGCTTTTAACAGTTGACTAGTTTTTCATGGTTCAGTTTGAGCTTCAAGCTTTGCATTTTTTGCAGACTAGATAGAGACTCTGGGGTAAAATCACCAATCTGAATTACTTTGTGAATTTTGGTTGGCAATGTGGGGCAATATGAATGTAAATCTCTTCAAAGACGGTCAAAGAACAAGATACTATATGTGCTTTAGTTTCGATGTCTAAAGCAGTGCTCGATAACCAGGACTCGCTCTAGGAAATTGGGGAGTGCACAGAGCACGCCGGCTTAGTGAATCCCGAGTGCACTCACCGATCCCTGGAATAATTCCCCCAAAAGGCTTTTAAAATCCCATTAATTCAGGAACAAATAGAAATAGAAAATATAAAAACTAAGAGGAATTATATATAAAGTGAAAATTTAGTCCAAGCTCTTGAAATGTTTGGCCAAACCCCATCTCAAAATATTGAAATCCGAGGTTTTGAGTTTTTTGGAAATCTAATCTGGATTCAATAGAGAACACAAAGAAAAAGATATATGACAAATTATCAGGGTAGAATAAGCTAGGGATGGCAAAAACAAGCAAAACTTCAGTCAAACCTTGGTTTCAAAATAAATTCCAGCAAACCCGAAATTTTCAAAAAAAATTTAAATTTGCTGATTCTGATGTTTTGATTCGATAAAGAATGGAAAAATATACATATGGGTAATATGTGAGAGAGGTGCCAGCTCAAATGGTGAAGAAAATGGAAGAAAGGAGGGTCAGATTCCCCTCTCCCCCTTCCCCCTTTCTCCTTTTATATCGGAGAAGTATCTGGCTTAGACAATTTTTTGTGGACCTATGTCTGCTGAACTCGCCCAAAGCTACTATAGCAACTTGGCCGAGAAATGCACCGTATGAGCCCCCAACAAGTAGGGAGCCTTCTGAACTCGGCAGGTTGCTGAGTCCAAGTCAGACTGGGCAAGGTTTTAAAAACTGATCTGAAGTTCTTGCATGACTTGCTACCACTAGCTCGGTTCACAATGTCTTAGATTAAAAAAAAAAGTCAATGCTACTTAATCAGTGTATGCAAAGGCTTGTGAAACCGATAAAGTGGATATCACCTTATGGAGAAATCACCTTTACCAATAAAGGGAATCCCACTAAATGGGTATATGTTAAGGATTGTGATACCGAAAATAAAGTATTGTCAGCCAAATGCCATTGTCAATTATAAGAAGGGTAGAATACCAATAGATTGGTTGTCCTCCATGCCAAGCATAGCAAAGTGTTATGGAAAATACTTAAAAACTGGGTGTCCTATCCATGTTGGATACTTCCACATGTTAAATCACCCAAAAAGAGAGATAGATAGATAGAGAGAGCGAGAGGAAGAAAATGAAATCTGATCCTGTACCCATGTCCACAGTATATCAATGAACAGTTCAGGATGCTCATGGGTATATATATGTGTCTCTTGTGCTCATGCAAGATAGAAAGTTCAGAGGAAAAATTTTCTATTTTCATTTTGAAAAATAGGAAATTCTGGAAAAACATTAGAAGGTATATGATCAATAGGAAGTATCTTTCGTTAAAAACAAAAAATTTGTAAGACAATCTAAAATTTAAATCCTAGCTAGAAAAATATAACTGGAATCCCCACCAAAGGACGGGACATATCACGTGGAGGTCTCAAAAAGAAAGATCTTGTTAGCTTTATCCAACTTAGAGTCCTCCATAACTTAGAAAACAAAATCGCAGAAAGGTCTATGTTACCACTTAAATTTCTGATTCAAGGAAAAATAAGTCCAACCATAAAGACACTACAGTAAAATCATGTTGTAGCCTATTGAACCCCTGAACAAGATATATTCCTTCAAGGATAGAGTGGTAAGTCTCATAAAACAGGAGAACTATCCCATCCACATCGTGTGGATGGGTGGAAGGGTGCACAATCACCATTCCAATGGTTGAGATCTCATATGGCCAAAATTAGTCTTGTATTTTATTTTTAATTTTTTTTTAAATAAGATACTTATCTGAATTTTGGAGTGTAGGTGTATTCTATAAATAAAACTAAATAAAAAAAGATTAAAATATTTTAAATAAAAAATACCTAAATACCTCTAAATTTATTTTGGTCAATATTTTTATTCCAAATATATTTTTTAATTAATTTTATTTAATCTTACTTATAAAAATGAACCTAAAATCAAAATTTCAGATTAAAATAATTTTTAAATAAAAATAAAATAAAATAAAACGATATTCATTAATGACCCTCGGAGGAGAATGGTTCAATCTGAACCACTAAAAGGTGCTTGTGCACCTTTTAAGCATCCACAGTATGTGGATGCAATACCAACCCTTAAAAAAATTAACATGAGCATCACAGTGTTCCTTGGAGTGTGTCCTGTAAGAGAAGAAGCGATAGCAAGGACAACCTTAGAGCCTCCATTTACCCTTGCTATATTTTGCAATATAGAGCTTCAAATATGTTGCAGAAAATACCAACGAATTAATACGAATTTAATATTTGATGCTCCATAAAATATATTGCAATGAAGTCACTACGTCGCCATTAAACATGACATCATCGTCAAAGCCTTTTCCCAACTAATTGGGGTCGAGTACACAAATCCTGGTCTGCAATTCTGCTCTATTAAACATGACATCGACTTTTGAATTAAAATATTCTGCAGGAATCACCTTTGAAGCAAGGCAGAGACAATAACCCTGACTAGGAACAAAAGTAGAAATGCACACAATAATACATGAGAGAAAAGCCATGAAATAATAAGCCTAACATTATAGAAGTTAGTTCACAACCCATGACACCTAGGACTTCAATTGGCCCCAAAGGAAAACCTCTAACATGTCAATGAAATTCCGTTACGTCCAAAGACGCTAGCATTTCCATCAAGTTCAAGATACACAAAAAATGAAAAAACAAAACACAGGCACCGCATCAAGTCCTACATTCATCAGATTGTTAGGAATACGGATTGAGGTAACAGTTCCCTCTCTGTAGACCCAAAAATATTATATGGAAAAACCCATAAAATAGGATCCTTGAAATTCAGAGACACTCCATTTACAAATATAAAACGCTTCAAAGGAAGAAAATAACATGAAACCTACATCACTGCATAAAATTGCAAAGCATAAATGAGGATTCTTTCAACTTTGAAAAGTTGAAACGAAAAGGAATGAAACTACAGAAATAGAAACCCCAGCCCCATGGCAATCAAAGAAAGAAAAAGGAAAACAGAGCATTTGAAAAATAAATAAGAAGAATCAGAAAATAAATTAGAGTAAAACTCCATCTTCTCCACCGAAAGAAAATCTTTAAATGCAAATCCAAATCCAAGCCTTCCAAAAACATAGAAAAAATTGAAACACCAAACACACATCAAAGCATCACAACCAAAACCATGAAAACTCGCAAAATGGCAGAAACCCTAACCTCTCAGCAACATGTAGCAAGAGTGCATCGGTTCCAAATTTCTGCACTGAGAAGTCCACTAACTGGCTGCAACTCCTATCGACCAGGCGCTTCGCTGCGAGCTCCATCTCGTCCCAGTCATGGTCCTCCTCCCAGACGCTCCACGCCAAGAGGCTGAGCGATCGCCACAGAGAAGAGTCGAAGGTGGCCTTTCGCCATGAGGAGCAAACCCTCTGAGCTTTATAGAACACATCCTGCGTTTCTAGCAACTGAAAAACCCTAACCAGGAGGTCACATGGCATCTCAGACCAGTCCCTCTCTTCTTTTCCTCCTCCATTTTTAGGGTTTTGTCTCTCTTCTTTTCCCAATTCTTCTTTTCTAGGGTTTTCAGAGGCCATGTGATCATCCATTTTGAGTGAAGATACGTTTTTTTGAAGCGAAGTGAAATGACGGTCAAATATAGGATTACTGTTACACCTGAGCAGGTAAATGCACGGCGTTGATGCCTTTGATGGGAAGGTAATGCTTCATCTGGACGGTAGACCAATTTGATATTGCGGTAAAGAATCACGTGTGCGATAATGATCAATTCGTGTTAAATGGCTTTTCTGGCTCCACGCACTCTTTCTAATAACGTGCGGTTTTGTTGCAACGTTAATAATCTCATTCAGGTGCACCTCCAAACTTTATCGTAACAACATGTAATTTTTGTGTTAAAAATTTGTAAAATTGTTTGAAAATCTATTTTCATATCTAATTATAAAATTTTAAATTATAAATATGATTAAAATCAAATAGATCTATAAACATGTGAAAATCTTGAAAATAAACAGTCTAAATAATGTGTTGCAGGATGCACTATTTAACATTAAAACAAAATTTTCCAATGGATTTTTGAGATGCATATGTAGTTCTACATTATAAGATTGCAACGTTATATAAACTTGAGAAAATATCTCCATACTTTCTATTTTTAAGTTTAATTTATCAATAGACTTAAGGTTTTAAAAGATATCTTGAAGCATAAAAATTTTATATTTTATTTTTTCTAAGCCCCTCAGCTAATTTAAACATGTTTGTTAGGCCAAACAAATCTAAAAAGACATACATTTTCTAAAGGGAAATGTTTATATAGAGCTGATGCTCTAAACCAATAATTTAAAAATCGATGAGTCGAACCGGACTCCCCCCGTTCGACTTGGGAATCGGCACAACCCGTGCCAGTTCCAACACAAAACCGAAAACCGCCCCGTTCTAGAGCAGAACAGCTGGTTCCCACCCGGTTCTGTTCGGTTCCCTCCTAGTTCTAGCCTCAAAAGCATCTTCACGTGTACGCATCGCGTGCAACACGCACCACTCCTGCACGTGTGACACGAGCGGTAGACACTCCCACACGTGCCACACACACTCCCACACGTGCCATGCATGCAACACGCACATGCACGCGTGCACCGGTTCTAGCCGATTCAGGCCTCAAAAACACTTTCACACATGTGTACGCATCACACGTGCGACACACACCACTCCCACATGTGCCACACGTGCGACACACACCACTCCCACATGTGTCGCACGTGCCATACGTGCGGCACGCACATGCACATGTGCACTAGTTCCAGCCGGTTTAGGTATCAAAAACACTTTCACACGTGTGTACGCATCATACGTGAGACACACACCACTCCCACATGTGCCACACGTACGATACACACCACTCCCATATGTGCCACACATGCGACACATACCACTCCCACATGTGTCGCACGCACATGCACACGTGCACCGGTTCAGGCATCAAAAACACTTTCACATGTGTGTACGCATCACATGTGCGACACACACCACTCCCACACGTGTGGACACACACCACTCCCACATGTGCCACACGTGCAACACGCACATGCACGCGTGTATGTGCACATATGCCCTAGTGTTTTCACACTTGGGTTTATCTTCCAATTACATAGTTATTTATATAGCATATTTGAATACTCATCCTTCGACGTGGGATAATTTCCAAATATTCTCTAAATGAAAACAGCATGCAAATATATGCTAGTAATAGGCAATTTTAAACATATATGCTAAGGAGGGACGATGGTTATCACTAATGTTATTTGCTTTGACTTCTCAAGTTCGAATCCCTCCTTGGGCCATATAAAAATTTATCCCTTCTTGAGCTAATTTTTGTTTCCCCTTGGACATATAATAAATAAAAGTGTTATTTCCAAAATTTGTATGCATTTTATTAATTTTTATATTGATAACCAAATCTTTTATTTTATTTACTAATTTTTATATTATAAATCGTATAATGTACTATTTTTCTTACAGTTGTCAATAATACATTTTAAATTAGATAATATTATAAAATATTTTTAATTTGTTATTATTTATCTAATAAAATAATTATAAAATATAAATTATTAATTATAATTTCAGTATATAATATTATAATTAGTTAGGTTGTAATAATTTTGGATTATAGTTAGTTAGGCTGTAATAATTTGGATTTTCGTAGCGGATTAGGGTTTTTCACCAAAAGGAGATTTTAATGGCCATTCTTTCATTGATTTAGTCTACTCTTTATTATAGCCCATTTATAATTATATATTTTATCCATGATAATTCTATGATTTTTCTTTTATGTGATGTGAATTTAATACTTAAGTTTATACAGGGAAAGAGCATCTCAATATTCACAAATTGATAAAAAAAATGAAAGTTAATAATGTAGTACCCTCATTTCTTATTGGATTCCTAAAAAACGACATTTATAATGAATTTTAATAATTTTTTCGGATTTTTTTGAAGCTTTAATCTGACCGATTCAGCTGATTCCCGATCCGGATCTCCGATTCGCTGATCCGGATCAGTTTTTGAAGTACCCGATCTAGGTGGTCACCGATCCGTTTTTTAAACCATTGCTCTAAACAATCAAATTTGCGCTTACCTCAAAAATTTCATTAGAAGAGTTTGTTTTGATGCTCAAATATCTTTAAATTGATCATCTCGACATCAAGAAGCGTGGACATGAGAAAAAAAATAGATTTCAAGTTTTGAAAATAGTGTATTTTGTAACACATTTTTGGACTGTCAATTATCAAGATTTTAAAGTTTTCATAGATCTGTCGATCTACACTATTTTTTAACGCTTTAAACTTTATAAATAAATATAAAAAGATATTTTAAGGCTATTACAAATATTTTCAATATTAAAACCACATTTCTCGATACTATTTGAAGGTAGGCTCTAATTTGATTGTTTCGAGTCTAGGCTCTATACAAACCGTACCCTTTTCTAAAAGCCATCTTCCCAAACTTCTAGAGAGAGAAAGAGAGAGAGAGAGAGAGAGAAGGGTTTCATAGAAGTGATAGGTTACCGGAGGAGAGAGAGACGTGTTTGGAGAAACATAAGAGGAGAGAGAGAGAGTGAGGGACGTAGGAAGAGAGAGAAAGAAAGAAGTTTGAGGTACATAAGGGAAGAGAGAGAAATGATTGGTTTTAGAAATAGCATATCTCTCCCACATTTGTTTAGGTTAAAAAATAGGTTTAAAGTGGCTAGGAGGTTACCAGATATCTTTTAAAACATTGAGTTTATCAAGAAATGAAACTTAAAAATAATGGCTATGGAGATAATTTCCCTATAAACTTTCTCTTTTAATAATAAAAGTAAAAGATGTTACCATCACTCTCTCTCTCATAACTAGAAGTTAAATTATAAATGGTGTGGTTTCCATACGGTTGCAACAGTAAACAATCCTACTACAAAGCACCTTCAAATTTTATTATAATATATAATTTTGATGTAAATTATTCTGGAGATTATCTCAAAATCTATTTTTATATCTACTTATAAAATTTTAAATTTAAAAAATAGTTAAAACCAAGTCAATATATAAACATATGAAAATCTTGAAAATGGACGGTGTAAATAATATGTTGTAAGATACTATTTCTGAGACTTAAAATCTTTTTAATTTTCATAGTCATACATCTCGATTTTTGAGGTGCATTCATGGTTCTACATTATAAGGTTGCAACCTTATATAAACTTTTTCCAATTATAAATTGTAAATTGGAAGTTCTTCGAAAGAGGTTACTGCAAGAAGTTATAGGTTTATGTATTTCATAACCTGCTGGAATGTTAAAGAAGTTTAAGTACCTATATTTGATAAGATGCTGGAAGATTAGCAAGTGATGGTGAAAATTACAAAATGTAGAGCACATATTTCCCACAACAATCATTCAAGCCCTAAAATGACAACAGAGAGTAAATGAAAAACTGCCTAAAAAATTTAAAACAAATACTTCAATAAATCTCACACTATGAACTATCCATTCATTCAGTTGTCAATTGCAAATCAAATACACCAAAATTTAACAAAAAAAAAACCTAGAGCAAAACATATGATATAGATTGTGATGAACAGAATCACTTATACCCATCTAACAATAAAGTAAAAAGACAGATCTTGGACATATTCAAATTACACCTTTGACCCATCTAGTAAGAAAGAAAAAAGACAGATATTGGACATATACTCACCAACAATTTGAAAAAAAAAAACAAAAAAGCACTACATTTTCATCTAAAGGACTACATTTTCATGTTGAGAAGGATTTCACAATACAAAAAAATCCAAATCCGATTATGGTGAACTTTAATGTCCATCGATGCAGTAATTAGAAAGAATCCATTCACACAATTAAAAAATTGCATATTTAGTGCATCTAGCAAGAGATTGAAAAGCAAGACTGCTTAGGCATCCATTCAAAATATCCAAAGAAAGATTAACAATTTCATCTGAAAATCTACATTTTCATAAGAAAACAATCTCATAGACATCCATTCATAAAATATCTGGAAAAAAAAAATAATCTGAAAAAAGCAAGACCTCTTAGGCATCTATTCATCATTAAGAAGGTGTTCTCATAGACAACAGTAGAAAAACCCAATTTAGACTACATTTCATTCACAAATTCTTCTTGAAATTTAATATGTTGGTACTCATTAGGGGAAAAAAAAATGTGAATAAAATGCATTATTTTATTACTAACAGTCCCCTGTCCTTACAATCCTAGAAGTTCAAGACTCATTCATAGCATTAAAACTCTAATAACTCTCAAACTGGTACTCTATTTTCAGAACTCAACAAAAAAACAGAAAAAGCAAAAGAAAATAAAAGAGATAGAGATAATGAAAAGAAAATCAGAAAATACAATATATTATATCAATTAACTCTTTGAAACCCTGCAAGATAAAACACACTCCAAAACCAATGATTCTAATAATTTTCAACATTATGGTTTTATTGTCCACGAAAGAAGCCCTAAAATGCCCAATAAAAGAAAACCAGAAAAGTATTCTACCATATCACTAAACATAACTTTAAAAATCAGAAGATGCATCTTTTCTCATTTATGATTTAATCTTTGAAACCCTGCAAGATGAAGCACACCCAAAACTAATGATTCTAATAATTTTCAATGTTTTATTGTCCACAAAAGAATCCCTAAAATGCCCAATAATGAAATTTTTTGGTTTTAGGGGAAATTTTTAAGGGAAAAAAAAAGTACCCGATGAAGAGGGGTTAAAGAGAGAGGGAGAGGGAGAGAGAGGAAGAGGGGTTAGAGACAAAGGGAGAAAGAAGAAGAGGGGTTAGAGAGAGAGAGAGAGAGAGAGAGAGAGAGAGAGTACCTGATGAGGAGGAGCAGATGCGGAGGAGGCAGAGGTGGAGGCATGGAGGAGGCGGAGGCATTGAATGCAGTGGCGTGAGGGTGCTAAAGAAGCAAGAGGTCGAGGATGAAGTTCATTTTTTAAGTTTCATGGTTTTCCACGGAATTTTTTTAAAGAGTAGAAGTGGGAAGAGCTACAGTACAAAGAATTTCTTTAAATATCTTGTATTTTTTTATCAAACATAAAACATAAAACATCGATAGTAATAAGTAAGTTCCATCTTTAGATAACTAACTTCCGGTTATCAAACACGGCCTAAATGAATAAGGCAAGGAGAACCGAAATATTAAAAGAAGTCAAAAGTCTTTAGCAAGGGTGCGCCAAATATATCCCATATTTAGATGGATTCTTTTTTTTTTGGGGCAACTTTATATGTGACCCCACCCACAAAAAAAAAAAATGTGGTTGTTACTTTTAGCCATCCGATCTAAAAGCATGACTACGAAAACACCTGTCTCAATGTCACAAAATTATGTCTAAACTTAGGAACCATCTTGACTACGAAAACACCTGTCTCAATGTCACAAAATTATGTCTAAACTTAGGAACCATCTCTCAGTCCGTACGCCTCCCCTTTTCTTTTCGGGTGTGCAAGTCTCACACCATACTCTCTCTCTTTCTCATTGTCTCTCTCTGCCTGCAGTAACCCCAAGCCTCTGTTCTTACCCATAGTAACCCTAACCTCTGTTAATAGTTTCTTGCTCTTCTAATAATGGAAGGAAGCTGCAGGAACCTAACCCTTTGTCAAATAAAAGAAAACCTCAAGAACCCTACCCTTTGTCAAATGGAAGGAAGCCGCAGGAACCCTAACCCTTTATCTATCACTTCAATGCAAGTCTCTCTCTCTCAATCGCTTCAATAATGGAGGGTTAAGTTTGCAAATGGAAGGCATTGCTAATTATCACTAGTTTTGAGAGAGATGGGGTGGACTACTGCCACTTCAATAATGGAAGGTTACATTGGCAAATGGATGGCATCTCTAGTTTTGAGAGAGCTGGGTGGACTACTGTCGTTTCAATAATGGAGAGCTAGGTTTGCAAATGGAGCGAATTGCTAGTTTTGAGAGAGAGGGGGGTGGTCTACTGCTCAATGTTGCAGATGGAAACAGTGCGACCGAAGCTTCAGAGATATTGTTTCAATTTGGGTTGTGGTTCCTTCTTGTTTTGTGAATATTTGTTTTGTCAATATTTGTTTGAATTTGGGTTATGGTTTGTTCATCAAAAGGCAAAATTTCAATTGGCATTGTGGTTCCTTAATGTTATGTCAATATTTGCTTCAATTTGTGTTGTGGTTTGGGGTGTGGTTTGTTAGTTATTTTGTTAGTTAAGAAAGTTTTTTTTTTTGGGTAATTGGTGCTTGTGGTTTGTTCATTAAAAACACAATAATATCAATTGACTTGGTTGATTATGAAATTGTTTTGGGGTAATTGGTGCTTGTGGTTTGTTCATCAAAAACAAAATAATATTAATCGATTTGGTTAATTAAGAAATTTTTTTTTTTGGGAATCTGAATATTTTGATTTTAGTTAATATTTGTGTTCATAATGTTTTATGCTTTTTGTTTTTTTTTTTGACGGATCAAAAAATCAAATGAATAAAGTTCTATTGGTCTAGCTTTCATTTATTTATGTTTTGATATAATGGTTGTGCGGCTACTGCTCTCCTTTCTTCCTCTTGCTCTCTTTTTTGCTAGAGATAGAAATCGCTAGAGAGGGTTAGGGTTTGCGGGTGAGGAATGCAAGGGTTAGAGAAAGATAACGAGATTAGAAAGATAGTAAGGCGTGAGAGATATGGAGAGAGAGAGCATGAGGCGTGTGATAGGTGCGATGGATAAGGGAAGGGCAACTTGAGAGAGTCAGTTGCCAAGTTTGTTTTCAAATTAGTGATATTTTAATTGTGTTATCCCAACGGTTTCTTTAGATCCGACAGCTGGAAAGTAACAATCACTTATCTTTTCTATGTAGGTGGGGTCCCATAGAAACATTCCCTTTTTTTTTTAGGGGTGATATTTAGATTGTACATGTACAAGTAAAGTGCACCTATGAATTTCTTTTAGATATATAATTTTGGTGTAAGAAAAATTGCAATGACTCAAAAATATATTTTTTCATCTCAAGGTATAAAATTTAAAATTTTAAAAATAGTACTAATCGAGCAGTTCTATAAACACATAAAAATGTTGAAAAATTGACGGTTTAAATAACTTGTTACAAGGTGCACTAGTTTTAGGATTTGAAATTTTATTTTTCTTTATATCCATATATCTCAAAGTTGAAATAATTAATTAGAGGGATTTCTAAAATCGGAATATTTTATTCTAGAGAATTTTTAAGTTGCACCTTACTGGGTTTCTTTTTTTGGTAGATCAATGGTGATGGGATTATCTACTTATGATAGGAATGAAACTCGAAACGTCATATTATGGCCCCCCACTACCCTGACCACTTAGCCTTGAGATCATTTAGAGGTGCACCTTCAATACTATAAGATTGATAGATAATATAAAGTTTTTTATTTTTTTAATATCCCATAATTAGACGGACCTTTTTTTTTTTTCACTCGAATGCCTTTTAGAAAGTATCTTTAAAATATCTAGATTACTATTATTCAGAATTGGGATTTTTGGACAAATAGAGGCATTCCACCAAATAATGGGAGTATTATGTTTATTTCGAGTGATTCAAATTATTGAAATGCCCTCACTTAGTGACGATTTACAATATTCAAATAGTGGCAATTTCAGTATTTTTGAAATTCTTTTTTAAAGAAGTATGCAAGTTAAAAAAAAAGTTCTCTCAATTTAATTAGGTTATTTTAATCCCCTTAATTATTGTGTAAGATATTTGGGGTTCCTAATAAAAAACTAGCGAACCAACTCAAAATTGGCCAAGCCAGCTCGAAACTAGTGTGTAGGAATTTGGGTATAAAGCACACCTAGACTATTGTATTTTGCTATGGAAAATACCATGTGTTGTTTCAAAATAATATCTCTTTTATATTAGAGTGCAGTTTATATAAAGTTGAGGCCCTAACAATCAATGTAAGGTGCACATTCAAATAGTATCGATAGATGTTTCAATATTGAAAATCTTTATAATGGCCTGAAAATTTATTTTCATTTCTAATTATAAAATTTAAAGCTTCAAAAAAATAGTCTAGATCAAACAAATCTATGAACAAATCAAAATCTTGAAAATTGACAATATATATAATGAAGTACAAGATGCACTATTTCCAGAACTTGAAGTCCTTTTTTTTTTTATGTCCATGTATCTCAAGGTCAAGATGATCTAAATTGTGCTTCTAGTGAATTTTTGAAGTGCCTTTTAATTGATTGTTGAGGGTCTCAACCTTACATAAATGTTTTCCTTTATATTATAGTGTTTTGGGAAATGCATTATGTCTTATTTGTAGAAAGAAGTAGTAGGCTATTTATCCCAAAATGAAGAGATTAAACAAATAAATGCTTAAATATTACAATATCCTGCATATGTGGAGTACAAGAAGTGTGTGAATTGCGTGCTTACTGGGGTGCATGGGCGCTTGCTATTTAGCGTGCTATGAGCAAAGCCACTAGTGGGATTACACGTGTTCTGATAATTGGGTGGAAGACAACAATCACCTATTCCAGTAATTGGGCAAAAGACAACCACTTGTGGGACTACGCGTTTGTATCTTCTGTGAGTTGGATAACAGACACCTACTCCTCCACTGCCCATTTGCCAGCTCTATTTGGAATTGGGTAGCTTCGATTTCTAAGCGGCAGAACCATAGAAAATCTAGAAATTCTTTGCCCAAATTCTACACCCCTCCTTCCCTTTGATGGGCATTTATTTATGGAGGTCTCTAGTTGCTTCTATACTCTAGTTTATCTGAAAAGAGAGGAACTCTAGAGTCTTTGAACGTAAATCCCAAGAGATAGAGTGTATAAGGATTCAAGTACTTCGAGGGACTATCTAATGGGCTCAGACACTCATAACCTTAAGTGCTACTCTAAAGAAGTGTTCTACTCCAATTTCTTCGAAATCTTGAAACATAACTATAAAAAGGTTAAAAGGTTTGCTTGTTGGCTCCCACCAACCCTTGGGTGGCTCAAAATGAACTTTGATGGAAGTGTTCGACCAAATGTTCAGGAGGCAAGCTTTGGGGTTATTTTGAGAAACCACCATGGAGAGACCATTTTCACTTATAGTGGTAGTCTGTTGTTCTACGACATCAATGAAGCCGAGTTTCAAGCAGTAAAAGAAGGGGTGATTAGGCTCACCGACAACCATTCCAAAGTTATTGTCGATGGTGATTCAGCTAATGTGATCAATTGGTGCAAATATCCTTAGTGGCAATAGACCGCCATCATGGATGAAATTCTGTTAGCCACCCTAGGTAATGAGCTCTTATTTTGCAATGTCAATCGAGAGAAAAATGACGCAGCGATGCCTTAACAAGACTTCTCCCTTAACCTCTCTCATCCCTGTCATTTGATCCTTCTTCTTCCTCCTTTCTCTCCCCTTCTTCTTTTGTTTTGTTACTATTTTTGTAAAACTCTGTAACTCTGAACTTTCGCTCCTTTTGATGAAACTTAAGTTAGAGTTAAAAAAATAAAATAAAATTGCTAGACCAATAAAAACTTGTAATTTTGTGCCCTTGCCTACACCAGTGGATCATGAGATATATTATCAATGTGCCCCAGCTCTGACTATTAGAGGATATGATATTTTATATTAATCTAATGACGGGTTCCTCCCTTGTATCAAGTTTTTCCTAATGTTGAAAAGTGAATTTGAGAGCATTCTCTTTTTAGAAAAAAGGCAACTTTAGTGCTATAGATCTCGTAATAATTGTGCCTTTTATTGGTGGCATAGAGTAAATTTTCTGCTCCTTTGTATCTTGAGGATGAAATTACCTAGAGAGCTTAGATGGATAATCATTCATATAAATAAGGGGTAACTATAGTCTAGTAATAGCAAATACTTTGAGCCTCGAATCATAGGGATTGGAACTTTCTTTTGATTTATATCTCTTATTTTGCTTGCTTTCACCGGCCTTTTCCAATAATGTATATGGTTCCTACTGTTATTAATCCTTTTTAATATAGGGAAAA